CTTGAAAAGTTCAAAAGTACAGCGAACTTAAGCGTCAGTAGAAAACTACCTCATACAGGGCAGAAAAGATTGATTTTTGATGGCAATCAAAAAGAAAGCATTGCTGCTCAAAGGAACTGGCACGATGTGTCAAAAGTTACTGATGGTACCGCCGGAGAAAAAGCACAAAACTCAGGAGGAAAAGCTAATTCTGGATATAATTTCTTCAGGTATACCCATAGTACAAAAAGCAACCACATATACTCACAACCTCGCAACACCAAATTAACCGTCAGGAAACAAGAATTGAGCGCTAGCATACCACGGCGAGTCGGATTCGTTCAAAAACCAAGATATCGTCAATACTTTTTACCAGTTTCACCGTTTGAAGCGGCTCAACATTATAATGAGGCAAAAGTTACTGGAAAACGGTTAGTACCAACAAAAATGCATTTTACCCCTTCGCAAAACGTCGACAGAACAACAGAAGTAATAAGAAATCCTGATTTTTCTGATTACGACGCTATTCGCAAGAAAGTCTTTAACGTAAGAAACCAAAAGACTTTACAGTTAACACCAGCAAGTGAACTTGGAAGTCACTACAAAAGAAATTTTGATTCAAAAATAAAGAGTAAATTCCTTTCTAACAGTACGCTTATAGCTGCACAAAAAATAGCCAAGTTGCTAAGAGTTCTTCCGAAAAAAATACTGATTCCTTATCGAAAATATAAAGTAGGAAGTCATCAATCAAGAAAGGAGATGTCTTTTTTTGACAAGACCTCAGAATCTCCAAGGAACCAGCAAATATCAACCTCCCCAGACCTAATAATTCAGCATCTGAAAACAGCTAACGACGTTCTTCCCGGCGAAAGCGACCGAAAAAACAAAAAAGCAGCGAAACTTTGGGGCGGCTCCGTATACAGAGCTGTTCCGAACCGAACATTCCTGTCCTATACAGTACCTCAAAAAGTTCCGAAGGCTCGTATGATTGAAAGGTTCAAAAAGTTGTGGTCAGTGGAATACGGAATTAATTCCGCTGATGATAACGCTCAAATACCACTCAGGCGAAGAATTCTAAACAGAAGTTTCTTTCAAAAACCGGTTCAAAAAATTTTTTGTGGGTTGAATAACGGTAGTGCCGCCAGTAAAATTTATTTTAGCAATGACAGTAGCCAGGATAAGCAGTCTGCTTTTGACTCTAAAATCAGTGACCTGCGGAGAACAAGGAAAACGATGATGCCAACCGTAGGTATCAAGAAAGGTCAGGAAAAGCAACAAGCTTCTGCAAACACGGCATTTCATCGGAACCTGAAAAACATGAGACGTCGTTTTTTTCGTTGGAATTTACATGAGGCAAGAGAGTCTCCGTTCTATTTGGGAAATATAAACAAAGTAAGACTAAAAGAGAAAGCTGCAGAAAAAGCTGCTGGAACTTACGTTCAAAAAGCTATATTAAGGAATGGACCGCTCATCACACAGGCGCCTTTCCGGTATAGCAGACTATCTCAGACTCAAACTGTGGAAAAAGCCAAACTTTTAAAAAATAAGGTAAATCAGAGAAAGAAAATTCACGTTTGGAAAAAGAAAAGAAATAAAAAAATTAGTAGTATACGCAGAATAAGAGAAAAGGAAACATTACGTACTTTCATGGCTAGAAATACAAATTTAGAACATCCGGTAAGAGATTTAGCAAATCGACGACGAGTGCAAAGTTTTGGCGCTATCAAAATACTGAAAAATTTAAGAATGGGTTTACCGACGGGTTATTACAGTACACGCCAAGGATTAACAGGAATGAATTTATTCTCCCTGTCAAAGAGAAGAAAAGAAAAATCCAATCTTCACATTAAAAAGAATCAGCATGCCTACTCATCTGTATATCAGAGTTCTTCAACAGGATACCTTCGCAGAAGATCGGCCCAAGATCAAAGCGTAGCAAGACAAAACTATTATCATGTCACTCGCTCGAACAAATTTAAGATGAAATCTTCAGAACAACAGATGCAACGTTCTAGACTTCTATCATCAAATACATTTGGGAAAAGTGAAGGAGAGAAAACGTTCAAGAAGAACTTCAGGCAAGCAGAAATGCGAAAAGATTATCAAAGCTTGAAGAAATTATTAAGTACCTATACAGACGTATCAAATGAATTTCTGGATGACGACAGCCTGAATACCCTTGCAAGCGCTGCTTTGGAGAAGTATAGCGACGCTAAAATTTCAAAAAGACGAGCGGAAAGAAAGTTGTCAATTTACACTAGAAAGAAAGCAGAATTTTGGAATGTGACGAAAGAGAGCGAGTTGTCGAAAAAAGAAGTCATTTCACAATTAGAAAAAGATTTTCAACTAATATCAAAAGCAGTTTTACAGAGAGGGGTTAGTTCCAGAAAATCATTACAAAAGACTATGAGAAAAGCGACTGAGAGGCAGATAAGAGACAACATAAGAAAGCAGACAATGAAGAAAGAGGCAGAGAAGCAGGTAGTGAAGAAAAAGATAAAGAAATGGAAGATGAAGAATACCGAGAAGCGACTTTTTAGAACTCAAGTGCAACAAAAACAACTGCATATGCAAGAAAACGCCTTCAAAAAAAATATCGCTCGTATAGCTTTAGAGCAGCTATCAAAAAGAAATACATGGCAGAGCACTGTAGAAAACAGGCGTGAAAATAAAGCTAGAAGAACTTCAACAAGAAAAATGGAGATGATGAGAAGATACATTGAACACCAAAGGACAAGTAAGGAGGTAAAGGGGCAGATTATGAGAAACAAGGTAGAGAAGTGGATGATAAAAAAGAAATCAGGAGCACTTATTACGAAGAAGGTGATGAAGCAGATAATAGAGAAGGTGGAGCAGCAGCTAGTAAGGAAAGAAGTGGAAGAACAACTGATGAAAAAAAGTACGGAGAGGAGTACGATGAAGAACAAGATCGGTAAGCAGGTGATGAAAAAGGAAATAAAGGAACGGAAAATAACAACAAAGATGCAGATGCGAGCGACGAGAGTAAAAATGGAGAGGCAGTTAGCGCAGAAAAATACTCAAAAGGAGATTATAAAGGAGAAAACAAAGGAACTGAGGATCTCAAAGGCGGAGCAGCGAATGATTAGCAAAGCAATCAAAAAGCAGATTATGAAAAAGAAGACGGTTGAACAGATGACATTGAGAAAGATGGAGGAAGAGACAGTCAGAAAAAGAACAGAAGACCAGATAGCAAATAAAAATATAAGAGCGACAATGAGAAATATGGCGCAGCAGATGAACAGGAGAAAGATAGAAAAGCAGATAAAGAGAAAAATAGAAGAGCAGCTGATGAAGAAGGAAAAGGAAGAGCGATTGATGAGGAATTTGTGGGGAAGAGCGATAAAAAGAACAATAGAGAGGCGGATAATAAAGAAAGTAAAGGAGGAGATGAAGATCAAGAAAAAGACAGAGAAGCAGCTAACGAAGAGGGGTAGAGAGGAGCAAATAACTAGAAAGGAGATGAAAGAGCAAGTGACTCAGAAAAAGATGGGACAACAAATATTAAAGCTTAGAATGGACAAGCAAATGACGAAAAGAAAATCAGAAGAGCAATGGATACGGAAGAAAACTGAAGAGCGAGTGAAGAGGAGATTAGAAGCAAAAAAAATAAAGAAAAAGGAGAAGATATTGGAGAAGAAATTTGAAAAGCAGCTGACGAGGAGAAAAATCGAAGAGCTGATAACGGGGAACAAGGGTCAGATAATCAGGGATAGAGTGGAAGAACAAATATTGAAAAAAAAGACGCAAGAGCAAACGACGAGGAACTTGAGAAAGCAGGTAATGTGGTGGAAGGTGGAGAATCAGATAATAAAAGGAAAGGTTGGAAAGCAACTGAAGAGAAAAACAGTGGAAAAGGAAGTGATGAGAGGGGAGATGGAGAAAGAAGCAATAAAAAATAAGAAGGAGAGCACATTCAGGAAGTACATAGAAGAACAGATGATAAACGGAGAAGTGAAGGAGCGATTGTTGAGAAGGAGAATGGAGAAACAAATAGTAAGAAAGACGATGCACAAGATAAATAGAAAAAACAAGAAGATGCAAAGAATAAAGTCAAAATTGAAGGAGGAGATAATAAAAAGAAAGGTGGAAGAGCAAATGGTAAGAAAGAAATTGGAGAAGCGGGTGGTAATGAATATGAAGGAAAAGATGGTCAGAAGAGAAATGGAAAAGCGTATACTGAAATGGAAGGTGATGGAGCAGATAATAATAAAAGAAATTAGAGAGCAATTAATGAGAAAAAAGGAAGAAGAGGAAGTGATTAGAAGAAGAATACTAGAGCTAATAACAAGAAACAGGATGGAAGAGAAGATACTGAGAAGGAAGATGGAAGAGCAAATACTGAAGAAGAAGGTAGAAGAGCAAGTAATATGGAAGAAGGTGGTAGAGCAGATGATGAGAAATAGGAGAGAAGAACAAATGATGAGAAAGAAGATTGAGAGGCAAGTGCTAACGACGATGGGGGAAGAGACGATCAGAAGAGAGATGGAAAGGCGTGTATTAAAATGGAAGATTAAGGAGCAAGTGATAAGGAACGAAATAAGAGAGCAATTAATGAGAAAGAAGGAGGAAGAGGAAATGGTCAGAAGAAGAATAATGGAGTTGATAATGAGAAAGAGGAAGGAGGAGCAAATATTCATAAAGAATATGGAAGAGCAGATAAAGAAGAAGAAATTGGAAGAGCAAGTAATACGGAAGAGGATGTTAGAGCAGATAATGAAAAGTAAGTTTGTTGAACAGGTAATGAGAAAGAAGATGGAAAAGTGGATGTTGACGGAGACAGAAGAAGAGATGATCAGAAAGAAATTGAATACGCGTACATTGAAATGGAAGATGAAAGAACATTTAATGAAGAAAAAAATAGAAGGGCAATTAATGAATAGAAAGAAGAAAGAAGAAGAAATGATTAGGAGAATGGAGA